AAAGAGTTTAGAGGCTAATCTACGTGCCCAAAGCTCATGGATGCAGTCTGTATGAGAGCACTCAGAGTAGGAGAAGAACATCATTAGGAAGAGCTGACCCGGGCGAGTGGGTTAAATTGTGTTTGCAGAGTGGGATTTGGAATGATAGAGAATGTCATTTCTAAATGGATGGAACAGAATGAACAGAAACAATAGGAAAGAATGAGTAGATTGTGGAGATGGGCCTGGCTGAAGTAGAAGGCCCATGAGCAGGAATTAATTGATCGGTGAAGAAGGCATTGGATAGTAGGCCAAATATTCTAGCTTGTCAAGCAGGGAGTGGCTAGTGCAGATTTTGAGGATTGGGATTATGTTGAGGTCTTATAGAGGGGAACTGCTATGAATAGTAAGTGGTCCCCTACATCCTGGGAAAAGTTAGAAGAGTCTTGAACTAGTACCATGGGCTTCATAACATTTTTCTTTTGATTACGTTTCACTTATTAGGGGCGTTCTTACTGGCTAAGCACTTTACATGCATTATCCCATTTGATGCTCATTAAAAACTCTGCAAATAGGTATTTTTATCTATAAAAGATGAGGAAGCTGTGGTTTAAGGAAATCAAATAACTTGCCCATGGTCATCCAATTGGGGCTTAAGCCCATATCTGTGACTTCATACTCTATGGGTTTAAGTGCTTCTCCTGCATTCTTGGTTAGCTCAGTCCTATGAAGTAGTGGCTTCAAAAGAGTCATCATCGCAAACATGCATGTACCTTCTTTCTCATAAGGCATGTTGATTAGGCTAAAATTCATTGTAAAGTGACCACATTTGGGTCCACATTCCAGAAACATACGCAGTTTGGCTACATGGTCAGTGAGGAGCCATAGACAGTGGGGTGAAAAGGATGTGAAAGAGAATGTAGTAACCCTCACACTCTACATCTTCTTCTTAAATTCCTAATAGACAATCACCCAGCCTCTACCTGAACACTTCCCAGGGTGGGAGCTCACCCCCGTGAGGATGACAATCCAATTTTATAAGGTTTTCCATCAATAAAGCCAAACTCTGTCTGTTGTGTAACTCCATCCACCCCTAGGTCCAAATCTGTTAAAATAAAACTCAAATGTACGTTGTCTTCTACATCGTTGTTATTGTTAGGTACTGTCGAGTCAGTTCCGACTCATAGCAAACCTATATACAACAGAATGAAACACTGCCTGGTTCTGCGCCATCCTCACAATCATTGTTATGCTTGAGCCCATTGTTGCAGCCACTGTGTCAATCCATCTCTTTGAGGATCTTCCTCTTTTTTGCTGACCCTCTATTTTACTAAGCCGGATGTCCTTCTCCAGGGACTGACCCCTTCTGACAACATGCCCAAAGTATGTGAGACATAATCTCGCCATCCTTGCTTCTAAGGAGGATTCTGGCTGTATTTCTTCCAAGACAGATTTGCCGTTCTTTTGGCAGTCCGTGGTATAGTCAATATTCTTTACCAACATTGTAATTCAAAGGCGTCAATTCTTCTTTAATCTTCCTTATTCATTATCCAGCTTGTGCATGCATATGAGGCAACTGAAAACACCATGGCTTGGGTCAGACACACCTTAGTCTTCAAGGTGACATCTTTGCTTTCTAACACTTTAAAGAGGTCTTATGCAGATTTGCCCAATACAATGCGTCATTTGATTTCTCGACTGTTGCTTCCATGGATGTTGATTGTGGATCCAAGTAAAATGAAATCCTTGACAACTTCAATCTTTTCTCCATTTATCATGATGTTTCTTATTGGTCCAGTTGTGAGGATTTGTACATAAGTACCCTTAAAAAACTTCTTTGTTATCTCTTTTCTCCTAGCTTAATATTCTCATATGACATGATTTCTCAAGCACTTACCTTCCTGCTCACCTACTATGTTTGCTATCAAATTTCTCAGTCTTCTCATGTACTCTGAACATTAGAGTGAAGTGAAGTGGTTACCATTTCTGATTTGGACTTTATATTTCTACCAATGCAACCTGTTACAGCTTATCAAGCAGAGCATCATGTGTTGACTCCCATGAATTCTGTATATCACAAAAACTTGGGTGTTATTCACAAGAATCTCTCTTCTACATTGAACATACATAATTTATTTTTTTGAGCCCAAACATACAACTTGACGTTGATCTATTTTGAAATGATATCTCTTGGTTTGGGCCCACCAGCCTACAGAAATTTACTTAATTCCCTGCTCTAACCAGTGAGCCATCTACAAGGAATAAGCAGGTTACACGATCACACACTTACCTTTTGAAAGGTAAAGTCCTTGGAGACAAATTGATAGTGTCGGAAGAATTCAGAATCTACCCATCTGAATCCCCCACAGGACACTACATAGTCCTCTGAGATGGACTTGGAAGAGTACTTTCCTCTAAGAGGGATGTCTTAGAAGAACTAGACTTTTCCAGAACATTCTTCCAGGATAGGGCTGAAAGGGAAATGTTGAGACCTCCCAACAAAGACAACCCTCAGAAGGGAGCATCTGTGAAAAAAGCAAAACTCCTCCCTCTGAGAAAAATTCCAGGGGGTACCTCTGATCCCAGCTTTCATACCTCCAACCTTTATTACTCAGACTTGATACCAGCTTTCCACGACCAGCCCTAATGAGGAGATTCCGGCTGGGGCCGCTTTCCTGAACTTATAGCTACATTTTCTCTGCCAGCCCAGACAAAATATCCACTATTACTGAATCTAGGTTGTCATTTTAAATGTCAGATGAGACAGCAAAGAGGTATATAGACATACAATTAAAGACTTCCCACTGGATCAGTGTTGATCATATAGGATATACAATGAAAAGCAGAAAGAATGGTTTGATTTGTTTTTCTGTATATACAATTCTTTAGAGAGAGCAGCCTGGTTTGGTGGGGATGACAGAGTAGGGAAAAGCTAGTACGTCTATTAGAACTTGTTTGTAAATTAAAATTGGCCGTGATTCTCAATTGGGAAGGCAATGTACCAGAGTCTAGGAGGGTTTGGGGGAAGGCTTCTGAAAACTACACACCTCCTCCAACCCTCTTATGAATCAGCATTTCTTCCACCCACAGCCACCTTTATTGAGGCAAATGGGGCATTCTTTTTTTTCCGTTCTGTTGGTTCAGAAAAAAGGGATGAGAAACAAACCACTTGAATAGAGAAATAAATCCATAAGCCATTAGTACTTTGCTCCATTACTGTAGTCTACCAGTGGAATTTGGCTTGAAGAATGGACTCCTCTGGCTGTAGACATGATCAAGCTGGATTCTTGTTGTAATCACCAACCTTTGGACATTCATGTTCATGGTGGCTTAGACTGGGAGTGTAAGTTAGGATTCAACACAACAGGCCTATCCCAGAAACTAACCTTATTAGTATCACACTTCCCTTCTAACAAGAGCATCACCTCCCCTCCTGCCTTGGGCATCTTCCTGCTGAAGTCAGTGCTGTGTTTTCAGGGAACTGAGGTCTAGACACTGAAGCAACCATTTAGGCTACAGAGCTTTTTGTTTTATTTTGTGACTCTATTGCAAAGTGCCATATAGCATAGTTACTTTCGAAAAAAGTGAATTAAAATAGTTTTGTGCGTGTGTGTGTATTCTTTAATCTAAAACATATCTCAGAGCAACTGTGGTCCCCTGGACTTTGCATAACTATAATCCCTGGTGTGGAATCAGTTCCAGACTTCATGTCACTGATAAATATGGTACCAGAACCAAAGCACCCCAAAAAAGGAATAATGATAATTATTTAGTTTAAAAGTATATATTATTGCAGGAATTAACATTATTTCTACTTTAATGTGAACAATTACCACATAAATATTGAAATCATCTAGGATCACTTTTCATTTTCAGAATTTCTCTTATACATTCTTATATTTTTAAGATGTTATTAAATCTTCAATATAATTTGTCTGTGAGAGCAAACTGAATAGCTGTAAAGCAAATTACTTTACATGCAGCTCTGTTCTCTGAGTGGATTAATTTTGTGAATACTTAATAATAAAATATTCTAAACACATATAAAAAATATAGAATACACCTATGTATCTTTGGATCAAATTCTATTAATGTAACATAGCCTGCACCATTAAATCCAACTAACTGTGAAAATTCATTTCTAATATCAATTCAATTTTCATTACAATAGTTAGAATGTTTTTGAACCCAAAGGGACAGATTGATGGCGATTATAACATATTTGTGGTTTGCACTTCAGTCTGTGTTACATTAAGTGAGTGAAATACGGAGGTATGCCAATATTTAGATAATCTGAGCAACATACACTATAAATCTAAAAACAGTCAGGCCAACCATTCCTTAATTCCACAACAGTTTTGAAAACTCTCTCGTGCCCAAAGATCTTTGCAACTGGCTAAATATTCACTTCACTAGGCCAATATAGATAGACTTTATAATTACTATATATCAAAATTTTTTTAATAAAATAAAAATTACTTAACCCTCATCTACTGGACTCCATCTATAAAAAATATAAAAAGCCTAGAATTTGTGTGCTTTGATTAAAATAGCACGTATATATAAAATCTTTAGAGAAAAGCTTTGATAGTCTGTACATTGCCTTAATTTGACCCTTATAATTCTCTGTATAAATTTTATTTTTAAAAATTTACTGAAGATTTTCTTTGAAGCTGGTAAAACTAGGCTTCTTCTTCTTCTTCTTCTTCGTCTTCTTTTTTTTAATAAGAAAACCCTCCAGGGTGAGGAGCAGGAAAATAATGCTATAGTAAGCGAGTCTCCTCAAATAAGTTGACTGAATTGGTCTTCCTAGTCTGTGGCAATATAGGGGACAGTCAGCCAGAGGGAAAATCAGCTCATGCCCTGGGAACCTTGCATTTCAATCCTTACGTATATGAAATAGAGAATCATAGAGAAATGGTATCTATACCACAGCCACCCCTTGTTAACCAGCACTAAGAGTTGGTAAGAGCCCAGAAATCACTAACTCTGTTTTCAAAAAAAATAAAGTCACTCCTTACCAGAAAGAAGCAAGCTGACTCCATAGAGAACTAAGCCGGCTAAAGAGTCCATGCTTCCCCAGATCTCTCCATCCAGTTTCCGCAGCTATGCATGAGGTACCAAGGATCCTTTCAAAAACCCAGAGGTTTGTGACTTTCCATTCGCACGTACCCCTAGGTCTTGTTTACAAGTTAGAGGCAAGAAGGAACAGCACAGAAGCTGGCTGTAACAGTCTCATTTCTGTCTGAGCGCAGGGAGTTTTAAGTTCCTTTTTCCTGTTTCCTTTGTAGATTAGGATGGGAAAGGCTGTATCTTAAAGGCATTTGGTATCAGCAGGGCTGGGGGCACTGCAAGCCCTATCCATCTTGCAATACATCAAAACACTTATCTGTTGCCGTTGCTTCTGCTGCTGTTTTCTGCTGCTGCTTTTGCTGCTGCTGTAGGGGTAGAGGAATTTTTGTTGGAAGTGTGGGTCCTGGTCAGCACTTTCAGAAACAATAGGAGTATCCTCTCATAGGTGGGAAACTGAGAATAACAAGCCCTCCACCTATGTATGGTATGCGGTGATGATGAGCCTTTCTCAGACCTTTAATGGCTCTCCCGCCTCCACTTGGGAACCCTCACAGAGGGGCCTTTGGGTGTGGGGAGCAGTTTTGGCTTTTGTTTTCTCATTTCAACTCACATGGTTTGAATTGGGAAAAGAAGTTTTCCATGATGAGAGAATGCAACCCAAGAGGCAATTAATTTAGATAATCACGGGTGAGGTCAATGTTCAATGTAGCCATATAGAGTCCAAAATTGTCAGCCTGTTTCTTTCACACAGATGGTTCATTCGTTGGCCAAGAGCCCAAAGATATCCACACTACTGGCTATAGCCTTAATTTTTATTAATAAATTCATCTGAATGTCATCTAATTTTTTTTTAAATTTGGCGTAGAAGGATTTCAGTAATGACAAGAGCTTCATGGTTTTTGGCCAAAGGTATTTCTGAAGTAAATTACATAGAAAATCTTAAAAATAATCTAAGGGAAAATGTGAGAGACTAGGTCAGGTTAAAAATACTTACAAGAGCAGGGAGAGTACATGGGCCAAAACAAAAACAGTCAACTGGAGTAACAATACCTAAAATGAGATCAGAGACCCAAAACTTATCCTGATGATAATTTCTCTGCAACATGAATTATGACTTTAGAATAGAGGGTAGAGACTATTAGATATCCTGCCTTAATATCTGAGGAAGGAATTGTTTGCTCCTCCTTTTCCTGCTCCTCACAGGAAAGGGTAGATGCTGCGTGGTCTTGCTTAATTTCTGTCCCAGGTTTTACCACATTGGCAGTGATCTTGAGAACCAGTTGATGTTTCCAGTCTGCTGAGGTAGAAAGCCCAGGCTCTGCCTTCAAGTAGATCTGGTTTAAATACTTGTTCAGCCGTATGTGTGACTTGAGACAAGTTACTTAATCTCTTTGAGCCTCAGTTTCAAAAGCTGTAAAATGGAAATAATACCTCCCTTTATGGAGCTTTTGTGAGGATTAAATGAGGTTAAAAAATACATAAAAATAACTGGCACTGTGCTTAGTTCATAGATAACTTTTATTAAATGTTAGTATGTTAATTCCCTTCCATTTTTCCATTTCTTCTCCGATTTAGGTTCCAAGAGCTTCAGCCAGGAAGCCATCTCTATTCTTATGAGATTAATTTTGGCATAGAAAAAAATGGTCTGGGAGTCCGGATTCTGGGTTCTAATTCTGTCTCTGTTATTATCTGTCTGGGAGGTCTTGGACAAGTCATTTCTCATCTCTAGGCCTCAACTGTAAAATGACGAATTTAATTCGGATGTGACTAGTTTCCCTTGTGGTTCTAACATCTCACATGTCTAAATGCCTAAATAAATTGTCCTACTCTCAATATCCCCAAGTTGCTTTTTGTGAGCTACATATTTCCGAGGTCGTTTCATCTGGACTGTTCAAGGAAGATGCTGGCTTTGTATATCTGCAATTGTGAAAGCCTGTGAGGATCACAAATGTGATCCTATTTTAAGACCACGGTGGCTGAAGTTTTGTGATGTCCACTGGCCCCAAGCCATACAGGGCAGCAATGGAAGGCCTTGGGAGTAAACAAACTCTGGGGTGCCAGCCTCCCCAGGCTGGTTCTCATTACCTGTGCAAGCTTCCTTTTTTTGTGTTTGATGGCCACACAAGGAAGTTGTCCTTGTTCACACCCCCTCCTGTTGGTTAGTTCTTGTGGACTGAAGGTGCTACTTTGCTTCCTTTTCTGGATTGTTATCTAGAAAAGCTGCTCAGTTTCATCCTTTCTCCCATTACCCAGAAAGATGACTTACCCCTATTCTATCTATCTTTACCCATAAATGTCACTCAGGTTCTTCTTCCCTCCATTATATAGAATGGGTGACTCCACTTCATTCTTCTCTCTGTAATTGAGAAAGGTTGTTTGATTTAATTTGTTTCTCCATTATCCAAAAGAACTACATAGTTTAATTTCTTCTTCCAGGATTCAGAAAGGTTACTCTATTTGCTCATTCCCAATGTTATATGGAGTAGGGATTCAGTTTAATAAATGCTGCTCGGTTCTCTGAACCCATGATTAAACAGCTAGTCAAAGAGATGAGCAATTTTTCTTTGGGATGTCTGGATCTTTAGCATGAGATCTAAATTCTAGGTGTAAAGTGAAGACAACTTGTGGTCAAAAGTGCCCAGACACTCTCTGCTCCAGCTTTCTGATACATGGATCTCAGAACATAGAAAACCAATCAAGGAACAATACGAGCATCACTGCATATTGGGATCAAAATGTCTGCAGGGCTGATTGGCAACAGGTTGGGAAGCTGCCAGACTAGATGGCATGCCAGGACTTCCAAGGGAAGGGAGAGGCCACTTCCATGTCTGGACAGGACTTGTCCCCAATACATAATGAATTAAGGAAATACCGCATACTGGGACATGGCCAAAACCCTCTTCTAGAAAGCTGGCTGTAGCCATCAATAAGACATGTCCTTCGCCCGAACAGCCTTGTTGGGGACTAGCTGAATCACCTGTCTACCCGTGGCTGTTCCATCACCTGGAAAAGTTGAATTTCAATTCTCTCATCCTTGCCTGCCTGACTCTTACGCATTCTCTAGGTTTCAGCCTCAGAAAGATCTTCCCTGACCACCAATCCAAGTTAGATCTCCCTGTTATTATCTCACAATACCCTGTTATTTTCTTTCATGGTACTAATCACCATTGGCAATCATATATTTGTATCTTTATCTTTTTAATGTCTACCCTACTGGACTGCAATCTCCATAATGCAAAGACCATATCTAACTTGTTCACCATTGAATTCCCAGGTCTTACATAAATACCTATTGAACTAATGAATGAAAATACTTCCATTGTTACTCATATACACATGTCATAGAAAGGGCTTTGGAGTCAAGCAGACCAAGAGTTCATCTGTTATAGCTGTAATTTACTCAGTATGGCCTGGGCAATTTATTTCATGTCTTTGAACCTCAGTTTTCTCATCTCTAAAATAGGGAAAAAATACTTTATTAGTGAGAAAATATATACACAGCATCTGGCACAAGATGCGTATTGACTACCTGCTTTCTATGGGTTCCTTCCCCATCCCCAATCACCACCACCACTAGACTGTTATATAGAACTATTTGCAATGAGGAAGCAAAGCCTCACCCAGGTTAAGTCACTTGCTCTGCTACAGGTAGCATAGGTAGTATTAGAATACTTGTCTCTTGGCCTCCAATTTTTGCAATTTCTAACATATGACACTTTTTTTTCATAGTTCACCTTTAGACCACATTGTGCAAAAAAGTAGGTAAAAAGAAATGTAGGAAATGTCACTAACACAATGTACACAGATCTTAGGAAAGTATTTGAAATTAAAGTTTGACAGGTAATGGCAAAGTTTGATGACCTTGAGAAATGCAGTCAATTCTTAAAGTGCTCCCAAAATATTAAGAGCTAATATCAGGATCTGAGGGTGCTCCACTCGCTCTCTCCAGGGTAGTGAAAGGGGGCTTCTTCATGAGTCAAGCTTATTCAACTCAATTTGATTTTTCTAGACACACTTATAACTGAACAAATATGAAAACCAAACCAAACCAACAAAACAAGCAAACAAACAAGGCACTTGGCGGGTACTTCATATTCTGTTCTCTGCTTTTTGCACTTAAAAAATGAAAAAGAAAATCTATAGACAACATTAAAAAAGTCTTTGAGACAGATTAGCAAAAATAACAATGGATAATAAAACAATGCATGTGAAGAGGTATGGCAAATAACTTACAAAATGCTACTACAAACTGGCATCACACATCTAGAGGTCAGTTTCATAAATATGTAGTAAAAGCCTATGTGCATATCCATTGGCCCAGAAAATGCGCTTTTGTGATACATCCCAAGCCAAAATCAAAGATGAGCCCCAAAATTTATCCATAAGGGAATTTATGGCAGCATTGTTGATATTAGCCAAAACTTGGAAACAATCTAAAAAGCCAACAAAATGGATTGTCTATGTCAATCATGGTGCACAACGGAATACCAGGCAAATGTTAAAATAATGTGATTGAAGCATACTGACATAGAAAGATGTCTGTGGGAAAGGAAAACAATTTGAACAGTATGAAATATATATATATGACAAATGTACACCAATATGTTAAAAATGATTATTTCTGGGTTTTTGGAAAACCAATAATTTTTATTTTCTTCTGTATTGTTTTCTATAATTTCAGCATTAAAAAAAATAATGACTGTGTATACATACACATTCATATACAAATATATTTAAAAAACCAAACCAGCTACCATCAAGTCAATTCCAACTCATGGCAAGCCCATGTGTTTCAGAATAGAACTGCATTCCATAGAACTTGCAGCGGTGCCTCTGGGTGGATTCAAACCACCAGACTTTTGGTTAATAGTCAAGTGCTTAACCATTTGAGCCACCAAGGGACTCACATAAATATATACACACTCATCTTTTTAAATGCTGTAATTCTAGAAAAGTATAAAGAGCACATATGTACAACTGAAGACTTCTAGGGGGAAGTCCTTGAGACAGTTGACTCAGAGCAGTAGTTTGTACAATAGAACACCCATTGGCAAATAAGAAACAATGCAAGTGAACCTCAGCCCATGGGGTGAGCAAACAGAATGGGGTGCCAACTGCCCGGGGTGTAGCCTTGGTATTCTGCCTTTTGCAGGGCCATGGCCAGTGAACCTCCAAAGC